AATTCATAATTGAAAAAATGAAAATATCAAATTAAGACATTTTTTGTAATGAATCAAATTAAAATAATTAAAGTGAAATAACGATAACAAATAGTTATGATTTATCTATTTTTATTTTTTTAATTTAAAATGTCACAATAAATTTAAATTTCACTAACCTAAAACATAATTCCTCAATATGGCTCTTACAAAATGACTGGGCTTGATCTATATATATGTAATGCCAAACACAAATTATTTTTTTTCTTAAAAAAATAAAAAATAAAAAATAAAAAATCTCCAGTGAGCATTTTAGAATTTGTCAAGTTTCTGGAAAAGGGTTTCAAAAAAGAATATCACTAACACAAAAGGCCTTTTAATAATTCAACATTTTGTTGTGTAGTCTTTCTTTTTTCTTTTTCTTTTTTTTTTTTATTGGACTTCAATTGGCGTAGCCGTGGGATCCAACAAACGATCATGACTGATGGATGAGGGAAAGATATTGAATAAGTACAGTATTTTTTTTTTTTCGAACATATTGAAATTCATTACATATATATTAATTAAGTGAAAGAAAAATAATTAGGATCTATGTGACTCAAACACATCATTTATAAGAGGTGCACTACCCTATCCTAAGATCATTCCACTAAATTGAAGTGGACTGTTAGAATAAGTACCCTAATTAAAACCATATTCGATTTGGGATAAATATTTTGTCATACTGAACTTTCTGTGAGAGTACTATGATTTACTTATTTCAGAAATAAAAAAATAAAAGGTAAATGGTTACACTTCACGCATGGTGTTCATTACAAGATGGTGAAAACAGATTGAAGAGTCTTTTTCAGATATGGCGGAGACACTCCATGTGCCTTAGCAAAAGGACACTCCCAAATTTGCTCTCCTTTTCCTCTTAGATTGATTATATTTTTTGCTCAGGTGTAAGAGAGAAGCAAGATTTTTTTTTTTTTTTTTTTTTTGTATATTAAAGAGTTAACTATTTAGTAATATAGATATTCGAATCTTTAATTTTGACTTTAAATCAAGATTTTTAAGTTAATGAGTACTAATTCAGACGAACTCTTATTGATATTAGAGGCCCTAGCTCAAGTTTTAATGAGGGTGAACAGAATTTCCTCGTGTTGCATAAGCTGCACTCTGTCATAATTAGTCAGGATATGTGTCAGATAGTTTAGCTTTCAAAGGAAGAGAGAGCTCAATCTGGCCTAGATGGGAAGCCATACACCTTGCAAGCTGCATTAGATCTCTGATGGTCAAATTGGCAATGCGAAATCTTGTATTTGAATCAGCTTGTAAAGAGCTAACCTGACTGAGGTTCTAAGACTGTTGAACAATGATGTGTCTTCAGCTTCAAATCAATGAAATTTAGTTTATGTTTTTAAAAACTAATCCATAGTAAATTAGTAATATAAAAAATAATGAGTAATTATAAACATTTGCACCAACAGAGTAAGCCTATCTATAGATAAGTAGTCAATCAAAAATTACCTTGCACTAACAGAGTAGTCTTTGAGAGACAAAAGCAGCTTCAAGCAGTTCTAAACTCACGACAAGCAGCTAATCTCCTGTAGATTTCCATGACCAACCTGCTATCAACTTCCTCACCACCAGACGCCACGGCAACATGCTGGCCTTTGGCAATCTTCTTCCCTCCAAACAAACCACCACCGTTAGCCTTCATGTCCATATAAGCATCATGAAACCTCGCCAGAAATCTGAACAATGATGTGGACATTCTCGGCCGCAGCTTTGGAATCACTCTGATTTTCCAAATCCAGCCTCCAGTAGAAGCAGTTCCTCCTCCAAGCCTTATCACCTTTACCCTCCTCCTATTCCCATTGAGTCTCTGGTACATCCTTCTCCTCCAATACTTCTTCAAGCTCTCAAGGCAAGCGTTTGGCATTGTTGGAATAGGCCCAGCCCAACACCCAAACAGTACTGGGCTATGCATAATGGGCCTAGGTTACCACCTGTTAGCCCAAGCTGAGGGAGCATCAGTACAAGCATACCCACGTGACCAATGCCAAGTGGATCAATGGGAGGCTAACACGTGTAGATGTATGTCAGCACCAAAGGGCTATAAATACCCCCCAACTACCTCAATGAAGGTAATAAATCTCTACGCTTCTCTCTATGCAATTACTCCTTGAGAGCATCTCTCTCTAGAATATTGAGTATTGCTGACTTGAGCGTCGGAGTGTTTTTCCCGAGGAAACAACCTCAGGATTTTCAGGTGTAGAAGCAGCTGAGGACTTCAACAGTGTTGGACTGCGAAGCTACCGAAACATTGGCGCCGTCTGTGGGAAACTCGAACAAAAAGCTGTGTGACTTAACCTGTTGAAAAACAAAATGGTCCATACCTTTACAGGAGGACGCCCTCCAAGAAATGAAATAGACGAACAGGAGGACGATCACGTATCTGAGGCCAGCTTGAATGACTTTAGGCCGATGCCAAGAAATCTTTTTGTAGGAGGAGCAGAACAGGATCACCTAAGTGAGACGGATGATGAAAGAACACCAACTGGGTATGCAACCCAGCCTGAACAGTTCCAAGCTCCAACAGGAACGAGACAAAGATCTGCCAGACCAAACAATTCGCAGCGTGAACGACCTGAAAGGTCAACAGAACTTGCTCGGACAACCGAGCTCGAAGAGAGAACCAGAGTTCTCGAAATGGCAATGGGAAGAATCCTTGCCCGCTTAATCCCTAATGACCCCCTGATTCCTTTGCTGAACAGGGATGCACAACCAGCTGCGGTTGTAGCGGCTAGAAACTCACCCGCTCTAAGCAATATAGTAGTGCCGACCAGGCCGAGGGGAAGTGGGAAGTTGAATATTGAGCCCAGCTCGCCCAAATATAGTGAAGAATTGATGAGAAAGAACGCAGACCTTGAAAGGCAACTACGGGATGTACAGAAATCCATTGACGAGCTGAAAAGCCCTAGGTCGCACCAACAGACCTTGGATTTGGACAGTGCTCCGCTGAACCTATCCATCACCGCAGAACCATATCAAGAGGGATTCAAAATTCCCCACCTAGAGACATATGATGGCACGAAAGACCCGGATGAACATCTACACACCTATCAAGCCATCATGAGGATTCAAAACGCCAATGATGCCATGATGTGCAAAGTGTTCCCGGCGACACTGAAATCAACAGCCAGAAGATGGTATCACAAACTCCCCAGACATTCAATAGATTCATTTTCCCAGCTCGCCAAACTGTTCTCGAACAAATTTGTGAGCCAAAGGGAGATCAAGCGCACAGCAACCGAGCTGATGCAAGTTAACCAAAAGGAGGGGGAGTCCTTGAGGGATTACATGTAGCGGTTCAATAAAGCCACATTGGACATTGATAATGTCCCAGACACAATCTGCCTGTCCGCCCTGTTGCATGGGTTGAAGCGTGGCCGGTTCCTAGACGACCTGCTTGAAAACCCACCGAAGACGTGGAATGAAGTGAATGACAGGTCGGCCAGCTTCATACTGTCAGAGGATTTTCAGTTGTCCAAGCGACGAGCTGACGATAAGCCGAGCAGAGGCCAGGAACAACCACCGAGAAAAGAAGAGAAGAAGAAGCAGAAGGTCAGTGAGCAATGGGGAAAACCAGCTGAGTTCCCGAAATATGCCAGTTACATTCCTTTGACCTTACCTAGGTCTCAAATCCTGGCACAAATTCAGCACTTGGTTAGGAGGCCTCCACCCCCGCTACATGATTCCCCGAGGGCAGATAAGAGCAAGCATTGTGACTACCATCGTGTATATGGTCACAATACAGAGGACTGCCAACACTTGAAGGATGAGTTAGAGTTTTTAGCTCGTAACGGGAAGCTAGAAGGGTATATTCAGAAGCCACACGCCCAGCAACCCACTCAAACCCATTTTGTGCAGGCGTATGACCGACCTCAAGGACAGAGGTACCAGCATGGAGGGACGCAGGATGCATATCAGGATAACCAGTATCCTTCTGAACC